TCTACTTTGCAGCTGTAATCTTCAATCAAAATGACTAATGGCTTGATTCTGAAGAAAGAATTTTCCTTTGCAGAAGAGTTAACTTACAAACATCTTCGATTCCGAAAGAAGTTATGAGGTACTAAATCTTCAGTATAACTTAACTCCTTACAATTCGTATCCGTAAATCATAGTTGTGAATGCAACTGCCATTTTACTGTGCTAAATTAAGTAACACATCATGTTTATTATTTTTGTGACTAGCTGCCTAAAATAGTAATTATAAAAAAATTCCTAATTTTAATGAGTTCAGCTAATTTTATTTCACAAAAAGTTTGATATTTCTAATTACGCATCTCATGATTTAAATGCTTTTCATATTAAATCAATCAGATTTAAATGTAAGAAATATTCTAAAGAACTAGTTTTAATGCTTAAAATCGCTTGGTCTGTTAATCAGTAACAGGCAGAATAATGAAAATTATATATATTTCGCTTAACTGAATGGCAACACGCTTGCGCGTGGAAAAGTAAGCATTTTATTTCAGACAGTTATTGCCGAAAATGGAATAGTTGAATAAAATTGAAAGATTATCTTACATTTTTGTGAATGGCAACAATCCGCCGCGCTGGAATTTAAAATGCTTCATTTCGATGAATGTTGCCACTGCTAGCTTTCAAATCTTTGAATTTGTTAATCATAAATTCATTTAATTTCTAAGAAATATGAAATAAATAAAAACCAAATATGAAATTCCAAATTTGGACTTCGGACTGCACATGTTTGGAATGAGGGCTGTGTGTTCAAAATATGTTGGCTCTAAGTGCCGTCGTTTCTACATAATTGTCATTAAATTTGAAATACAAGTATACTACGTTTTCTTTGAGTGGCAACACTTTACTTTTATATTCCCGCGTTTTCTGATTAAATTTGAAACATCTCTCGCTTTGCCAAGTGGCAACATAAAACTTTTAAATCGCTGAATTTTTAATAAAAAATTCCTTAAATTCGCTTAGAATGAGACATAAATAAAACAAAATTCAAAATTCTATCTTCTAGGTACACATGTTCGATTGGAAAACTACTTATGTTCAAAATTAGGTGGCTATAGGTGCTGTTGGTTTTACACAATGCGAAGGATATACAAATAGATTCTTCATTATTTTACAGTTAAGAGATATCTTAGGAATGTTTCGTATTCAGCTACTTCAGTTAGCTTTCAGAATAATTAAACATGATCTGAATAAAGTATGAAGTTATTTCTCCGAACTGTTAAATAACGATCGTAATCTGAGATATTAAGTAAAATTATGTGTTTATCCCTTTTTACGATATCTTGGTAATAAGTTAAAATAAGACATGATTTTCAAACTCATAAGACTTATTTATAATTCATTTTGTGAAGGAAAACCTAAGCTCTCTATTTTTAGCATTTACAAAATATTTTCTTCGAGCACAGCGCCCATGTAATCCAGCTGATCTGGGTACTCGTCGAACAGTTTCAAGTGACACTGAAGTAGAACATTTTTCAGTAAATTCTGTAGAAGCCTTTACAGTACTCAAACGTGGATTCTTCAGAAAATTTCTAACGATAAATATCTGATTACGGTGAGTTAACGTTAACAAGCGACCTCTTCTTACTTTATTTTTGATCCAATTTTCTTCTTTAAAGCATTTTATCATACACTACACTGTAGAATGGGATAAATTTACTAATTTAGCGATATCTTGGATGGAGTTTCGACCTTTATGATGAAAAAGGATCAATTTTCGAATGCTGTTTGTTATTTACTTACGACTACGAACCATTTTGAAATATTAAATTAAATATAGCGAAATAAACAAGCAAAGAATAAAACCAAACGATATTGTAAACGTCAACAAAACGCAAAAATAAGAAAAAGGAGGCAGACGATAATTTTATTTATGATATTTTACGAAAATATTTAGGTGTCGGATCACTTTTGTGTCGTGTTTAATTTATGCGTTCTTACATTTTCAATTTTAGAGAAAGAAAATAATTCAGTATTAAAGAAAACTTCAGTTCTATTCAAAATCACATGGAGATAATATGAAAAAATACTGGGCTTTATTTTTGAATTCAATTCTGGGTTACAGTGCTTCTTCTACAAATTCTTAAAAAAAAAAAAAGTGTACGATTACTCTTGGAAGCCGCTGTATATCCAATGTGGAGCTGCTATCGGCGGACTTATCCATTTCATTCATTGTAAGTACCAACATTTTCTTAAATATTTCTTTACGTAATAAAATAAAAATTATCAAAACTCTGACAGCTTTGGATTATTAAACACAAATACAAATTTTCTGTATTGATTACATAATATAAAACTAAATAGATTTTTATTAATTGTATTTTAAGAATATAAGTACGCTTGTGGTATAGGGTAAAATATATGCTGAGAACATTGCTTTTGAAGGGGATAAGAGTAAGATGCTACACAGAATATTCTAATTTATAAAAAGAAATGTTCCTTCAAAACATTTTCCAGTGTAAAGGTAAAAATAATTATATAACTGTAGCAAGAATTCAAAAATAATTTCATTCCATAATAGAAGGCTTATTTGAAAATCAGTTGTCGTGAAGTTATTACTAAAGTATATGAATTTATTTTATTTATTCTCTAAAGCATTTTATCATATTTTCTCTTTATTTCATTTTCTTTATTTTATTTATTTATTCTTTATTATTTTATTTATTTTTATTTATTTTATTAATTCGATTATTTAAGTATAGAAGTAAGTATTAAAGTATATGAAATATGTATGTTAAATACGCAAATATTTTGTAATCGTTAATTTTAATTCAATTAAATTCTTATTATTTACAATCAATGAAAGTTTGGTAACTTTGAGATCTATGATTCTATCTGTTATATTTTGAGGAGTTAAAGGTTGATATAAGTTATTATTGTCAAAAAATAGTTAGGTAATTCTTATTATGTTCGAAAACATTTTCTATAAATCTAATTTCTTTACAACTTAATTAAAATTAATTTTTTAAAAAGTTTCCGGCATAGTTATTCGACTCAAATTGAATTACTTTTGTTAAGTTTGACAATGATGCACTCAATGAAATTTTGATAATTTTGTGAGCTAGGATCCATCTGTTATATTCTGGGGATTTGAAGGTTGATGCATATTGTTATAGTCAGGAAAAAATTTAGGTTATTTCTATTATATAAGAAAATATTTTCTATAAATTTAGCTTCTATTATAACTTAATAAAAATTAATTTTTAATGTTGTTTTCGAAGCAAATCATTAATTTCGACACAACCAAAGTCCCATAATGATTTGCAATCAATGGAATTTTGATGATTTTGCTAGCTATCATTCCATCTAATATATTCCGAGAAATTAAAATTTGATACGCAATATTATTGTCAAGGAAACATTTATGCGATTTCTGTTTCGTTAGAAGATGTTTTGTAATTTTGTGAATTTAGCTTCTTTTAGAAATCAATCTTTAGAAAAGTCTTCGCAAATCAATACTTTTGATGCAATGAAAGTTCGACAATGATTTGCAATCAATGAAATTTTGATGTTTTTGTAAGCTAGTATTCCATCTGTTATATTATGAGAAGTTAAAATTTGATACATACTGTTGCCTTCTACTGGTTCTTGGATTAGAAGTGATTGATGGCAACGCTTGAAGAAGAATCAAAACAGAATTTATTCTGCAGTATTACGCAGGACAGTTCCTAAGACGCGTTACAGTCGTCAAAAAACTCTGACAAGCACCCTGAAACAATCAGCAACACCACCTTCAGGCTATAACGGTGAATACAGCTTCACAGAAAAGCACTAAAGTATAGCTCCCGACTCGGTCGATCACTCTTAAGCTAATCTTTGAACTCAACACGCTGCACAGTCAAGGTACTCTTCATGATAAAGTCAAGATACTCTTCATGATAAAGTCAAGATATTCTAGATACGCTCTCGATACACTGCTTTTCCGCGTACAGGCAGTGTATTTATAGCTTACAATCTGCCTTCGAGAACATTCTCGGCTAAACCGGTAAGACTTCGTTCTAGAATTTTCTCGTCCGTCTATGGCATATCGCCAATTTTGTCGCCAAATGGGTGATTTCGCGCCGAATCTGGCAGCTTTGCCTTTTCTTGCCATTTTCTGGCACCCTAAACCCGTTTTGCGGAGAAGCTATCTTATCGCAGCTGGGCGTTTCGTAACAATATTATTATAGTCAAGGAAATATTTAGACGATTTCTGTTACCTTGGAACATATTAATATATAAATTTTCTATAAATCGAACTTCTTTGAGAATTAAATGGAAATTCATCTTTAAATTGTTTACTACGCAATGTCTGGCAATGATTGGAAATCCATAAAGTTTTAATAATTTTGCGACCTACGATTCCATCTTTTATATTCCGAGAAGTTAAAATTTGGTGTATATTATTTTAGTCAGCAAAACTTTAGACCATTCCTATTTTGCTAGAAAATGGGTTCTGTAAAACAAACTTCTTTTATAACTTAATGAAAATTGATCATTAAAAAGGTTTATGACGCAATTATTCGATGCAAATCAATAATTTTGATGCATTAAAATTCGACTAAGATTTGCAATCAATGAAATTTTGATAAATTTGTGAGTCAATTTAGAAGACAGACAAGTAGGTTTTACAACCTGATTAGAAATGTGAAGAACTAAAACTAGCTGAATTCAGTAAAACCGTTAGATTTATATTTTTATGATAATTATTTTGGACGACTAGGCGCACATGAGGATTCTAAGAAGTTTGCTCACCTTTTAATTGCCAGGAAAACATTTAGGCGATTCTTATTATTTTACAATACATTTTTTGCAAATCTAACTTTTTTAAAAAATTGAATGGCAATTCATTTTAAAAACTCTTTTTGACAGTTCAGGAAATACAAGGGGGAAAAAAATCCAAATTTAAGTTTATTGGCAATTTGGATACCGCAGAAAAAAAGAACAATCAAGATTTTTTTCAGCCGGGGAAGAGGAAGGTAGCTTACATCCTGTTCTTTGTTCTCGCCGCTCTGAGTTTTCTCCGGTTCTTTGTCCTCTGTCTCTTCTCGCCCAGTTACCGCTTCTTTCTTCTCCTGTTTGGGAGAATTTTCAACTGCCTCTGTGACATCCTGTTCCTGTTTCTTGCGTGCTGTGAAGTTTCTGTAAGAAGCTTGGATTTTGGTCGCTGCTTTCTCGAGGTCTTTATCGCTAAGATCTATATCCACCTGTAATGTAAAGGCAATTTTATGAAAACACGTTCAGTTACAATGTTAAACAATCATTTTAAAACTGTAATATATGTCAGAGTAGATAAAAGAGAATTCGGTAGTCATGAAGTTAACATACTACATGCATCATATGAAAAAATGTAACCAACCATGTACATAACCTTATATAAACATGTTAAATTTGGCGATTTGCATGTTAGATAATTATTTTATCCTGACCTGACTTTTCCTTGTTTCGTAATGATTTTATTTTGGCAATCTTGTTTATTTATTTATTTTTTGATAACCGGAATTAATGGGACTGTGGGATATTAAAATAACAAGAATGTGTCACATAACCTATATCATGTTTAATGTGGCGATGCCGAGTTTGTGCAATTCTCTGATTTTTTAAAGCAAAAACAGATCGCTCTCTACCTATAAGCTGTGTGAAAGAAAAGCAATAAAGCATTTAATATAACAATGTTTTTAATGTGCGCAATACCGAGTATGCGCCATTCTCTGAATTTTTTAAGTGAAAATAGATCCCTGTGTACATGGAGAGAAAACAATAATATAATATAGATGTTTAAAGCGCACATTGTCGAATCCGTGCAATGCTCTGTCAAGTATCATCTTTATTTCCACGCATATAAAATCATCTCAGTAGATATTTAGCCGATCATAATGATATCTGATACATTTCTGTGTTTCAATTATAATGAAAATGATACATTTCTATGTATATTGGTTTTTAACGAGAAATGACGCGGGTAAAGAAGCGAAGAGGGGAGATATTAGCAATGTAGGAGCTAGCAGAATAACGATGTAATTAGTTCGCCAGAGGGTATTTATACCAAAGTAGGTGCGAGATATTCTAGAGACAAGCTATGATTGGAAATTTTTATGTCCATTGGTTTTTAACAAGAAATGACACAGGCATTTTTAAAGAAGCAAAGGACTTTACAAAAGACAAAGACGGAATATACATTGCTAGATATAATAGCAATGTAGAAGCTAGCAGAATAATGTCGCAATTAACTCGCCACACATATTTATACCAAAGAAGGTTCGAGCGATTCTAGAGACAAGCTATGATTGGTTAATAATACTCGTAGTTTTAGTTGGCCTTTTCCAGTAGCGTTATATAACAAAGAAAGATCTCGAAATTGGGAGAACAGATAAATTTAGAGGGGAAGCACCAAATCTAGAAAATTAATTTTGAGGTCGCCAATTATTTTTATATATATATATACCCATTCTGTCACCCGCCTCACTGAGCTCAGGTTTTTAATTGTAAAAATTTCAAAATTTAAATAGCGCTGCTAAGCCTAACGAAGCCGCCATTTGCTTACATTTGAAACTTAGTAGAATAGTAAATTAAGTCAGTTTCCGGACCAACTTCAATGTTTTTTTTAGTCCAGTGGAACCGATAGTAAACTTTCAGGTTTGTGCACCGAAAAATCTGTCTTCCTGCACGGTGGCCGAATAGCTTGCTTTTGCGTATAACTCTAATTTTAATTTTAAAAATACTTTTTAGCTGCTTTTAACTGTATTTCGTGTTTTATATTTTTCTATACTTTTTTTCCTCTTGCTACGAAGTGAAAACTGAATTGTTTGAATGAGAAATATATCTCTAATTAAATTCGAGAAAACGAGCAAATAAAATGCAACAAAAAAATGTGTATAATTTAATAGGCCGTACAAAGAAGTCATATGGCGTCCACGTCAGATTTTTTTCTTGTTATTACTACATATATGTGCCTTATTATTGAAAATTTTGTTACTAATATTACCGAAGTTGTTACATGTTATTACTGCATATTTATTTCTTATTACTACTATGTATATGTTACTGTTATTACTGCAATTGTTACATATTATTTCTGCATATATGTTTCTTATTACTACTGCACATTTGTCACAGTCATCACTAGAATTGTTATATATTATTACTGCTTACTTTTTCTAATTGTAAGAATAAGATTACAATAAGACTATTACTACATATTTGCTTCTTATTATTACTGCATATTTGTTTCTAATCATTACTAGATATTTGTTATATTGTAGAGACATTAGGATTTTTTCGGAAGCCGTAGAGATGAAAAATTAGCAAACGCCTTCGCCAGGAATCGAACCACGAACCTCTGGAATACCGTGCCAGCGTGCAGAACCACTACACCACGAAGGCACGCCAGGAAAGCGGGAGAAATACTTTATATACTCCCCTTTCTAAGGGGTCTCATACACCTTAAAACCCATAAGATGTTCGAATAGGTGACTGTTGTAAGAATTGGGACAACTTATTTATTTTAAAAGCAATTACTACCAACTTTTTACAGCTGACTACATAATATAGCTGCTTTCTGAAATAGTCATCAGAAAGTTTGTGTTGCCACAAATATTTTTATAATTTAATCCGCTTTGTGACAACATTTTTCGTCATGTTTCCAACTTGCGCGCACAGTTTAAAACATTCTGTTTCATAATTTAATTCCATATTTAATATATAGCTTTTATAACATTTGGAAAGTACTGTGAACCTAAAATTCTAAAAATTTCATGTTAAATTTTTATTTTATTTTGAGTTGAGTTTATAAAATGTATTTTATTAAAAAAATTTGTAATGTTTTCGTTCATAAAATTTTTCAATATTAAAATATTCATCAGATTGTTGGTTCGGTTAGAAAATAGTGCCCATATAAAGAATTCCATCCAATTTCAAGTATGTACCATTAGCCATTTTAAAAACATCATGCGCGCAAGGTGGAAACACGGCGAAATATTTTGTCGCAAAGAGGATTAAATTACAAAAAATGTTTGTGGCAACGCAAACTTTCTGGTTACTAGTTTCCGAAGCAGCTATATTATGTAGTCAGCTGTAAAAAGTTGGAAGTAATTGCTTTTAAAATAAATAAAATATCCCAATTCTTGCAACAGTCACATATTTGAAGATCATCAGGTGTTAGGGTGTAGGAGTCCCCTTAAAGGGCGACTGGGTTTTTTTAGGGGACTCAATCGCCAAATCCTGGGGGTAGAGAGTCATCATCCACAACCCTTTTAGTTCGGGCGCCACTATGGGGACATTAGGATATTTTTTTTTTTTTTTGTAAGTCGGAGCAAAATTAGCAACCGCCTTCGCCGGGAATCGAACCACGGACCTCTGGAATACCGGCCCAGCGTGCAGAACCACTACACCATGAAGGCACACTAGGAAAGCGGGAGAAATACTTTATATTATATCATTACCGCATATTTGTTACTATTATCACTGCATGTATTATATATTATTATTACGTATTTGTTTCTTTTTATTGCTCCATATTTGTTACTGTTATTACTGCAACTGTTAATATTATTACTGCATATTTTTTTCTGAATGGGAACAATCTCTTAGAGTTCTGATAAAAGAGAAAGAGAGATGCAATTGACTATTGTTTATTTGCAAGGATCTGCGGCACCACTTTCTTTATATCGAAGTTTTATGCAATCGAAATTCTCCTTTGTGGATTCAGACTATAGGGCAGTGCTTTCCTTGCCGGATCATTGTTCTTCCCGGATGAGAACTCGGCAGAATGTACATTATGGCCGTTTGCCAGGCGGCGAGGAAGAAATAAGTATGAGTTACGATCGCAACTTCCTCAGAAGCCAAAGATGTCAATGCACCAAACAGATCGCATGCAGTTAACTTGCTTTTCGTGAAGATATTGAAACTTCTCATACATTTTGTTGCGCTTAGAAAAAACTGATTGATTAATTGATTCGAAAATTGAACCTGAGTACAGAAATATTGGTACTTTTCTTTTTCCTTTTTTTTAAACAATGAATAACTATTAATTAATTAACCCTTTTATGACGGGCCGCTCACGTCACGTCATAGAAGGAGACGTTTGAGATGGGCACGTCAACATGACCACTGGATGGCTGATAAATGGAGGGCTGTACTCCTTACGCATGAGTTCACTTTTAGACTCCAAAGCGATAAAAGGCATTTTTTGATTTGGAGAGATCCTAGAACGTCCGTCAAACATCCGTGAAAGAGATGCATAAGGAGGCGGCAGTGTCAGTGTACAAGGTATTTCTCCCACTTCCCTAACGAGCCTTCCTGGTGTGGTCGTCTGCACTCTGGGCCGGTATTCCAGAGGTCCGTGGTTCAATTCCCAGCGAAGGCGGTTGCTCATTTTTCATCTTCCCTGCTTCCTAAAAAATACCTAATGTCTCTACAGTGGCTCTCTAACTAAAAAGGGGGATGAATAATGACTTCCCACACCCAGGAGTTGGCGATTGGGTCCCCTAAAAAACCCTAGTCTCCCTTTAAAAGGGGGTGTATATAAGGTATTTTCCCATTTTCCTAGCGTGCCTTTGTAGTGTAGTGGTTCTGCACGCTGGGCCGGTATTCCAGAGTTCCGTGGTTCGATTCCCGGCGAAGGCGGTTGCCTAATTTTCATCCCTCCGACCCCCGAAAAAATCCTAATGTCTCTATAAGTGGCGGCCGAACTGAAAGGGTTGTGGATGATGATTCTCCGCACCCAGGATTTGGCGACTACGTCCCCTAAAACCCTAGTCGCCCTTTAAAAAGGGGAATATATAAGGTATTTCTTCCACTTTCCTAGCGCCCTTAGTGGTGTAGTGGTTCTGCACGCTGGGCCGGTATTCCAGAGGTCCGTGGTTCGATTCCCGGCGAAGGCGGTTGCATAATTTTCATCACTCCGCCCCCCCAAATCCTAATGTCTCTATAAGTGGCGGCCGAACTGAAAGGTTGTGAATGATGATTCTCCGCACCCAGGACTTGGCGACTACGTTCCCTAAAACCCTAGTCGCCCTTTAAAAAAGGGAGTATGTAAGGTATTTCTCCCACTTTTCTAGCGTCCTTATTGGTGTAGTGGCTCTGCACGCTGGGCCGGTATTCCAGAGGTCCGTGGTTCGATTCCCGGCGAAGGCGTTTGCTATTTTTCATCTTGTCTGCCTCTAAAAAAATCCTAATGACTCCACAAGTGTTTGGGGAGGTATCTCTT